TTAAGCTCTGTATATATATATATATATATACATATATATACAGAGCTTAAATTTTTTTCAACAAAAAGATTCTATGACCTGACACGTACGCGGTTCATTTTATCACGAGCGACCTTTTGTGTTGTCACTGGTGCGCCTTCATGCTCGCTTGCGAGCGAGCGGAAAGAATTGAAAAAGTCGGAAACTGCTAGCTGCAAGAAAAGCGAGAAAGAGACCGACGCGAGATTCGCGACAACGCGGTGTTCCGATTACGCGGGGCAGAAATTCCGAGGGTGCTTCCTGGTATTTGGAAAACGATGCCCCGTATTTGCGTCTGATGAAAGGAACGAGCGACGAAGAGGAAAGAGGGTCAGAAGAGGAAACTATCAAGAAAGAAGCGTATGAGCTTGGTGCCAACGTTCCTGTGCCGCAGGCTGAGCGGTTGGTGAGGCGAGACGAGAGAAGACTCGAGTATTTCGCTAATTAGGTCGCATCGCCGGCCGCCAGGATTCAGGAACGCCAAGCATTTGCTACTCTTGATAGGGCAGAGCACTCGGCTTACCCTCCTGTGTCCTCCTAACCTCTTGCTGCACCCCGTTGCCGCCCACAAACAAGTCCCGACCAACTACTCCTCCCTTGGTGATCTGAACTTAGAATTTTGGTCCTTGAACTTATGCGAAAGAATGTGTGTTATGTATGAGCAACGAATTATGAGAACATTCACTATAGATAAACTTTGTCACGGCTCGAAAGAAATAATTAAATCTCGGTTTAAATTTAAATGCAATGGTGTAACAAATTAATGACATTAATGAAATAATTTGTAACATAAAACTATTAAAAATAGTAATGATATTAAATTATATCACTAATTTCAATAAAAGATATGAAATATTTGTTATTAATGTATTTAACTTAATGTATTTATTTTTTGATGATAATTCTATAATCGTCGAATCTTTTTATGTGCAGAATAAAAAATTAATTTATATAAAAAAGACATTCAGAAATGCAAATAAATCCCTTATCTTATCAAAATGGAAATTTGCTTCTATTTTCGATAAAGTTTATTTTTTTGACATATGTTGTTTAAATAGTTTTTACTTTTTTGAGGAATACTATCTTAAATCTAGAATTTTTTAAAATTCTCTTTATAATAAATAATATTCATCTCAGCGAAGATCCAAAAGATTTCATAGGTCTTTCTCCGTGATACAAAGTCTGAGAACAAGTCTCTTGTCCTATCTAGCGTGTAATCTACACTGATCACAAACGTAGTGCCTTTCTTCTTTTGCAACTGCTTTTACTTTATCGGTTTAAAGTTATCTTTCTTTAATCTTCGACAAAAGATGAATGTCTAGATTTTGTTTTTACTTCAACAGCCATTTTATTTTATGACGGATGAATCAATATTATGTTAACATGTACTATTGAAATTTAATAAAAAAATAAGTTAACTGCAAAATTTATATGTATATATA